ACGATAAGCATCATGTAAGCATAGATTTGCTTCCGTAAAAAACATAGTTGTGCTTCTCGAAAAAGAGAAAAATTGTGTTTCCACGAGAAGGACGTATTTCCTTCTCGTGGAAGCATAGGTTTGTTTCCTGAGAAGCACAACTTCTCCGGAAAAGGGAGAAAACACCGTCTGTGCTCTAATTGTAACTGTGCTTCTGGGCTTCGGTTTTCTCTTCCTTTTCTGCATTCATTTTTTTGCACAAATCCCCTTTTGCTTTTCTTATTATGATAATGTAGAAATGCTATTCCAGTTTTTGATTTTTTTCTCTGATTTCTTTTTTTTCATGAAAAAAGTTCACCAGAATCTGTTAACAAGGTGTCTAGTTTCGAAGATCTCTAAGCGACAAATTCAGTAGTGAAAAATGATCGATATTTGGACGCCCAGTTCAAGAGATAAAACGTTTTCAAGAAAACAAACCTATGAAAAATAAAAATTCTCTCATTGCGACAAGTGGCGCACATGCAGCGCGCTATTTGTTAAACAGAGAAGGTAGGGGAGTGCCATTTGCGGGGGGTACCCCTTAACTAATGAGCAACTGACTGGACGTTACCCATTTGAAGGAGATTATGTTGAGGACTGGGTTTTCGTCAAAATTGGGTGAACTTCATTATGCAATGCGTCTCAACTGTCGAATACAGAGTAAGGATTAATGTGGAGGAAAGTGAGACCTTTTAAGCCTACAAGGGGATTGAGGCAGGGTGACCCGTTATCACCATATCTTTTCTCGTTGTGCACAGTGGAATTGAATGCTCTACTTACATATGCAGAGGAAAATGGAAATATCTCAGGGGTAACAGTATGTAGAGATGCCCCGCCCATCACAAACCTTCTATACTGTGCGGCATCGGGTCAATTGGTAAGCATTGAAAAATCTAACAATTTCTTTAGTCCCAATACGAAGGTGGAGATAAGAAAACAATTGTGTACGGCACTAAATATAATGACGGAGGCCCTAAATGATAAATATTTGTGTTTGCCAGCAAATGTGGGTGTGTATAACACAGGTTCTTTCAAATTTCTGATTGAATGAATTGTTAAGAAAATTAGTGGGTGGAAGGAGAAATTACTGTCTGCTCGGGAGAAGGAGATCCTGCTCAAAGTTGTGATCCAAGCCATACCTACCTATGCAATGTCAGCCTCTAAAATTCCTACAAAAATTTGTAAGGGAATCATTGACGCGATTACGCATTTCTTGTGGGGAGATGAGGAGAACCAGAGAAGGATGCATTGGATGGCCTGGAAAATGTACGTACCTAAAAACAAGGGAGGGATGGGATTCCGTGATATTCATTGTTTCAACTTGGCATTGCTAGCCAAACATGCGTGGCGTCTTCTTGATAATCCTAATTTCTTGTGTGCTACTATCCTAAGGGCCAAGTACTATCCGGATGGCGATTTGTTGAATTCCAAGGTAAAGAATGCTCTTCCTTTACTTGGCAAAGCATTATATCCCTGAAGCATGGTTATATTTGGCGAGTGGGGAATTGTCACGCCCAAGATGCGACCCTATCCTAAAGGAACTCGAAGGTCCCACCAAGGATAGAAGCGCATCTTGAAGACGCTTTTGCAAGGTGGATATCATTACATCAACATTACATAATAGATGGGGATACATACATAAGGCATACAATGCCACACGAACACAACATCATCTTACATAAGAGCATCATCCGACTACGGATGAAACACAAACAGAAACTCAAACGACATCCACCCTGTTAGCCCAGGCTGCCGACCCGAAACCTATCCCCTGATCGAATAAGAAGTAGAAGAAGAACTCCAAAACAAGCAACATCGCTCTCGCGTCATGATCATCGCAATACCTGTACCTGCAGCTGTTGTTGTAGTAATCTGTGAGCCACGAGGACTCAGCAATCCCATTACCATGGGTATCAAGACTAGCAAATCTTAATGGGAAAGGAAGGGGTAAAGTGGTGAGGTTGCAGCAGCGACTAAGCATATATGGTGGCTAACATACACAAATAAGAGCGAGAAGAGAGCAAATGGAATGGTCGTGAAGCTAGCAATGATCAAGAGGTGATCCCGAACTCCTACTTACGTCAAACATAACCCAAAAATCGTGTTCACTTCCCGGGCTCCGCCGAAAAGAGACCATCACGGCTACACACACGGTTGATGCATTTTAATTCGGATCTGGTGTCAAGTTATCTACAACCAGACATTAACAAATTCCTATCTGCCACATAACCGCGGGCACGGCTTTCGAAAGATAATACCCTGCAGGGGTGTCCCAACTTAGCCCATGATAAGCTCTCGCGATCAACGAAGGATATTCCTTCTCCCAGGAAGACCCGATCAGTCTCGGAATCCCGGTTTACAAGACATTTCGACAATGGTAAAACAAGACCAGCAAAGCCGCCCGATGCGTCGACAATCCTGATAGGAGCTGCACATATCTCGTTCTCAGGGCAACACCGGATAAGTCAAGCTACGAGTAAAACCAGACCTCGAGTTTCCCCGAGGGG